TAAGTCCGCAGACATACCGCTGTGCCACTGGGGGCTCTTTGATAGTTGCACTGTATATATGATAACTATGATGCATGGTGATCAACATACCATATATTATGTATATGCTTGTAAAATATATATGTAGCTAGCATATTTATATTCTGTAGCTATATTGTGGACTCTGTAGACACTGAATTGAAAGGAGTGATGAACTAAACTGGAATGGTGCATGGACTGGATTTTGTAACCGCGTGAGTTTTATACGTGCATGCAGCCTTTACAGTTTTCTTTAAGTTGTATATATAGCCGTATATATAGATAGCCATATGAATCTTTCAAGTTGTATAGATGCAAGCATATATATTTATTGGAAATATAATAACATATAATAGCATATGTATAGAAATAAGTATTTTTACTATTTCTTATAGTTTTTATATTTCCCCCTTCCTCCTCTCCGCTGGCCTCAGTAAGGCCAGTTACGGTTGTGCTTCAGCTGGTCAGATTTCCTCTTATAGTGACATTCTGCACAATATACAAGGTCAAAAACGTGTCAGTTAACAATTATGAGTTGATTATATTAATGTACCTCCCTCCATCCTTCATTTCTGATGGAGTTTGGGTCGTTCCACTTCTACTACCCTAAATCTGGTGGGCCGTCGCTAGATCACGTCGAAACATGCACTTGTAAATATATTTTAAAGTGAAAGCCGTACGGCTTCAATAAAGTTTTTATTGTGTAAATATACAACGTTGTTTTTAATTATTTATTATAATTAAAAACATGTTCATTTGTTATTGGCTGGTAATTCCTCTTTCACCCTGCATTTAAGCTTCTTAAAGGAACACCATATATTTTTAAGAAAACAAGCTTCAAGGGGTAATGATAACGTCATTTATACTAGAATTAAGAGTTTTTTAGTTTATGAGAAATATAGAAATAACTTAAAAAGTACCCTACATAATGCACAATTATCCTTTTAGTAATATTGCTTAGGTTTGATTGTAATACTCACGCTCGTTTTAGCTGTAGGCTGGCGGAACAATAATAATATTAAAAAGAACAAATGGGCGATTCCTTTTATGAACAACTATTTTGGAAAGGTCACATTGTTAGCCACTATTGATTATACTTATGTTTATATATATATATCTTACGTTTATTTTTATAAAAGTATCGATCAATAATAGACTGAATTACTACTTATATTCTAATTTATATCACACTTTTTAACTTATTTTTTTAAATTAATAAATTACTGATTAGGCCTACTTGCAACAATTTTTCAAAAACTTGGATGTGAGATGATGGGCAATAATACATAATTTTGTGCACGCCACTTCACACTCTGTATGGTCCATAGAGTGCTGCACTTTGGTAAGTCTGTAGCACATTGTTTTATATAATCCCACTCAAATCCTTGGAACTTTTACCTATAGTAACAGTAAATTTCATTTTAACCACTCAACATTCAGCGAATTATAAGTTAAGTGCATTCCCGATTCTATTCTTTCATCCAGATTTACAATATTACCATTTGTTATCGTTTGAGTAGTAAGTGGTTTAATAATTTTAGATAATTTTTGTCTTGTTCTTTTTTAAAGATATTCAAGCTTATGTAATAAGGTTAGTGAGGCTTTTCCAGGCTAAAACCTAAAGACAGTTTGTGTTTGTTTTTGTACAAAACAATAGGCTATTTGCGCGCTACTCCCAGATTTGAGTCGTAAGTCCGTACACTTAATAACGTGAAAAATGCGTTCACTGTAACGTTAGGTATAATTCACTATTTATTAAGTATATGTCACTATGAGACTTATACACGTACACTCGAAACAAATTCAGAAAGTAAATGATTTACAAAATAACTTCATTTAAGGCTGTTTTCTTGATAGGTCTCATTTTTATTCGGTTCAATTTTTCTCCACTTTGGCTTTTTCAAAAGTGTGTCTGTAGCTTTACCTGATGTGTAATGATTTTGCATGCTCTTTAGAATTTGAAATTAAGTGTAATGGGGATAATTTTCATGAAAGAAGGAACAAAACATAATGCTACCAGACAGTGTCACAGGTACCCAGGTCTAATAGCTATACAATATAATGTCCTGCGCTATTATTTGTCTCCACGTGTATAAATTTTTATAGTTTTTGTTTTTATTTGTGACCATTATTTTTCACATGTAATAAATGATATACGAATAATTCCAAAAATGCATGTCAGTAAAATAATTAAAATTTCGGAAGTCTTCTCATTTGAATAATTTTAAAATGTTTAGCTATTAAACGTTACTTATAATAACATCAAAGCTCATTGGCACATAAAACCACAACCTACATTTAAAAGACCAATTAAAAATCGAGATGTTTATAGCTGTAAGTAGCTTTTATATAACGATAACGCTAAGTTTGTTTGATGCTAATTTCAGTATAATTAATATTAATGTTAATTAAGCGTGAATTAAAATATACGAGAAACAAATTAGAACGTTTTAACACATACCTACAGTAAGAAAAATCAAAAATTTATAACTTTAATAGGACAAAAAAAATTGACCTGAAAAAGTAGGCTAGAGTAAGGCATTTGACATCGAAAAGTACAACTGAACAATGGGGTAAATGGAAAACTAGAAAACAAACGACGCTAAGAAAACATTTAGGCAAAACTGTTTTAGAACAGATATGCAAATCTAAATGCGATTGTTCTAAATCAAAATTGTATTGATACACCAAAATAATTAGGGCAAATCCAGCCACATCAACAGAAAAATAGTTGGCAACTGAAACAAATCAGTTATGGTTATAATAGCATTACATTATTTTCTACCACAGAAATACCTTTTCTATGAATTATGTTTGACACTATTATTTTTAATTTTATTTAACGCAAACTGGAGTTTATTACGAGACATTTATATAAACGTATATATAAAATCGAGACCTAAATCGCGAAATATTGAGCTTATATAGTTATATTCTGCACATATAGGTCGCGATTTTATTTACGTTTATAGATATGTTTTACACTCTTTACAAGTTAACACAACATAACCGGGCAGAAAATTATTCACACCTACAAATCTTATGGAACAATTATACACAATCTCCAAAAAGATGACAAAGAAACCTAAAGAATAATTACCCCACTAGAACCAACGCACTACTTTTAATGTATTTCAGTCACGTCTGGGTGAGATGAAACAGTGTCGGACTAAATGAAGGGTTCTTAATGAAGCTACGAAAGGTACTTCTGTTACTAAGTACTT